CTTTCAATGGATATATCTTATTTCAAATATCGGACTTTACCATAGACTCCTTTGATTCTTGTAGAATTTTCTCCAATTTTGTAGGATTCCGTAATTTGGTCCGTATGCAAATAAAATAAATAAATACTAGACTCATTGCTTCGGTAGCTAATCAAAGTTTCAAGAAGACAAAAGAATAATCTGGCATTAAAGAACAAACTTTTAGCCGCATCTCATTGATGCCGAAGACAATAATTTAAGTCTATAAGTAAAAGATACTCACATTCTCTCGCTAGCTTTTCTACAATAGCTTACAAATAATTTCTAAATTTAGCTCTCAAGCACGATAATCGCTTCGCCAAAATGCTTTTTAGAAGCGGTGTTTTCGCCATTAGGTATGCAAGAAGCTAATACCTTAAATTGAGTTTCTATTTTAAGACGTAGGATATTAAGCACCCTCTTCATGGAATCAAACAGAATTCAAAGTTGAAAAGAATGAAAATTACAAATCATAAGAATATTGCATAGCTAAAGAAAACCTAAACACTAAAAGAAATAACTACATATATAACTTGAGAATAAATTTATAAAAAAATCATGTAGACAAAGATAGACGAAAAAAAAGATAGCAATTGGCATACATCAATATATGAAAGAAGAAGAGTAAAAAAAATATTTTTATTGTAAAAAAAAAAGAGGAGGGAAAAGAGAAGCTCTCCTCACTAGGAAAAAACTTAAATCAAAGCCAACACCGTCGAAAATATAAGATTAAAACCCATTAAAATAAAATTCAAAAAGAAAAATTAAAATCCATTATTTCCAACTAGATAATAATTATACGGAAGGTGGAAATCAAGGACGCCACGAAATTGAAGATACAATGGCAAAGGTTAATGGAAATTGAGAAACCTAGAAAAACAAAATTCGAAGAGAAAAATTCAACATAAATACCTATTATTTCAAACCAGATAATAATTATATAGAAGGTGGAAGTCAAAGATGCCATAAAATTGAAGTCGTGTCTGTCAAAAGTTGATAGAAATCGAGAAACTCATCATAACGTCAAATTGCCACGCACTAGAGGAAAAAATGGACATAAAAAAGAATAATCTAGTTGAAGACGGACAAAATACCGATTCAATCGAAACTAAGAAAGATCACAACCCATAAAAAAGAAGTTAAGATCAAACAATCTCACATGAAAATGGACCATTCGCAACCAAAAAAATATTAAATAAAAGTTCAAAGTCAAGAATTTCATGAAATATAAGGTGTGCTGGTAGGATTTTAGAAGAAGGAAAAAATCATTACGTTATCTAGATAAATGACGAAAACAATACAAGGAGATAAAAAAAAGGAAAAAAAGAAAAAAGAAGAATACGCACGAGGACAATTCCAACAAAGAAAAGGAGAAGAAAAGAAATAACAACAATCAAAAGGCTTGGGAATCCTAAAATTAGGTCCCCAATTCATTAAATGCAATCTCTCATAACAATGACAGATGAGAGAGATATTTTGCATAGGAGAAAAAGAATGGTTGGAGCTAAAAAAAAAAAAAGTCTAAGAGAACAAAAAAGTCTACAAAACATAAAAAAACAAAAATGTAAAGAAAAAAAAAGAGGCAACACAAGAAATGCATTTAAAACCAAACTCGAACAAAAAAAAAAAAAACAAGGACAAACAGTTAAACCTACAGTGCACATGTGTGTTGGTGCACAGAGTTTTTAGGAGTGGGTGAATAGTGCGCGCTAAAGTGCTTTCCCACTCCCTTTTAGTATATTACTTAAATAATATTTAAATATCCTATTTCTTAAAACATTATACTTTACATCTTATCTGACATTGTTAAGCATTCCGTCATCATAAAAATTAAATTATAATATTGCCCTTGATATAAAAAAAAAACCCACTCTATACCAAATCATAATAACTCATTTCTCTCTAATTCTCTTATCTCTTTGTAGCTCACCCTATTATTTAATTTTTTTTTGGATCACAAGAGTATTCCAAGACGAAAGGTCCATACATATCATTTGCTGTTCGGTAAAGTGCATAAGACGGGTACAACTATCCAAAAAAATTCTATGTACATAAAGTCTGAAATCGAGACCACTTGTTTAAAGGACTACAGTCCATTCATTCAAGCCAATCCTTTTAGATGAGCTTGCTTGCTCTTTATGAACTGTAAATGCATAAAACCATTGCCACTGTTTTCTTCAATCTTTGCAGCACCCATCAAACCATCACATCCACCAAACCCCACACCACAACTGTCATCTCCTCCACCAAATCAACCTACCACTACTATCATCCTCTTTAGACAGGAAACCACTGCTAAAATCATCTAACTCATAGTTTAAATATCTTCATAGGTGACCATACCCATTATCAAACACCAAAACCAAACAAAATCTTCTTAGCCATTGTCATTATAGAGATCAACAATGAAAACAACAGTGTTAATAAGGTCAACTACCTATATAATTTAATTAAAGATTGATAGTTTTGTAATTATAGTTTGTAATAATAAGTTATGTTTGATTGTTGAAAAAATAATGATTAATGGCTTTTGATTGGGTAGGTAACTTAGTTAATTTACATTCAAATTATCAACATGGTAATATTGTTGAAAAATTTTGGGTTTTTTTTTTTGAATATAGGTAATTTATGCGCAATATGAAATTGAGAATACTAAATTTGTATATGATTATGTTGCTGATTTTGGTATATAAATGGTGGTGGTTATGATTTTGAGTTGGCTTGGGATGGCGGCTGTGGGTTGTGGCGATGGTTTAAAAAAGTTAAGATTGCGATGGATTTAGCGGCTGGTTTTTTGTGTGGCCTTACTTATTTACAGAATAAACCAAATTGATCAAGTCTTTATGTCAAGGTGTTTGATTATATGAAAAATGTGATGACGGTTTGGTGACAAGTAAAGTAGCAAGGGGTTACGGTCGACAACTTTTTTTATAATACAAACATAATGATAATGTTCTAATAAATTTGATGTTTTTTTTTTTTTCATCAGAGCTAAAGGGAATATCTATAACAAAGTACAGGGTCTTGAATGAAAAAAAACAAAACATCAAATGTATAAGTAGCGATTTGTGATATTTTAACAATAGAACACACAAATATTATAAACACAACGCCATAAGGTGCTCAAGATAATTTATCCTAAACAAAATTGCATACCAACCGCTGATTTTTATTTATAGAATAACATTAATTAACATCGTAAAGAGAGAGAAGTATTCCCTCCCACATCCAAAGATTTTGGCCAATAAAGGCTCAATTTTAATACATGATTCTACAAAATTTTCCCCGTGATTGGCTCAATCATAAATAAAGAAAAGTATAAAGGAAACTAGTCTAATGAAGAAAGTATTCTTCTCGAAAACCAATTCTCCCGGTAAAAACTTCAAGGCGGTACCGCTTAAATAGGAAAATTTCCTTAACGACAAGGCTATTTCGGGAACAAGACATTTTAAGTGGCAACAACTGTAAATTATCAACAACCCCATACCTTTTAACTAAACATCGGACTACAATTCAGTCCAGGACCTAACTCCCTCTCTAATACGCTGCCGACTCGCGGCGCTCCTTTTCCCGAAAGCTGAATAAAATTGTCACATATGCCCACACACATGCTCACAATCTACACGTGCTCTCTTTGCACGTATACTTAACTTTCTACATAAAACGCATTGATATTAACCCCACCTACCCATTACCAAAATAATAATCACCGTCAGTAACTTACACGTGCTTGATCAAAACTCATGTCAAAAGAAACTTTAAACTTGCACGGCATGATAGACATGACATGGTAAATAGACGATGATCATGCATGATCCCATGCCAGGTCACATATTTATCAGCTACAACTTACTTTCCTTAGTAGTCTTAAATTCCCAACAATAATAATAATTTCTCCATTATTATAAATATATTTGCACCGTCTTCAATTTTTGACCGCATTGAAAACAGTGAAATTGTGAATGGCCTAGAATAAAGAGAAGGCAGAGAGATAGAGACCAGTAGGGGAAGAGAAGAGTGACAGAGACACAGTCACAAAGGTAGTACTAACACTTCTTGGTTTTTTTTTTCAATGATGTTTTTATGGAGATTTGCGTTTTGGAGTTAAGGTCTTTATCGTAGTGTCTGTTAAAAAAACCTGAAATATTTTTTTTTGAGTATTTTTAACTGATGATGCTTTGTCATGTTATGGAGAGAGAAATTGCATCCATAGATTTCTAATCCATTTAATCTTTTTGTATTGCACTCGTGGGTTTGTTTATCTTTTTGTTTCCTCTTCTACTGCTATATATCTGTTTTAAGTGTCTCACACTTGATGGTTTGATATTTTAGTTTTGGCTAAAAAGGAGCGGAGAAGAACCTTAGCGAGGTTTTTGTGTTTTGAGGAGTAGATTTATGTCGGCTGAGTTTGATTTGGCTTTGGTTGGGGCGCAATTGCAGCTCTGGATTTCATCTTTAATTACAAAAGTTTTCACTGTTTGCTTGGCTGGTGGTGTTTCTTGGTGCTTTTGTTTCCTCCGCTTTATGCTTCTCTGCTGTTTCGAGCAGAGATTGAATCTGGTGTACCCGTCTGTTTCGATGCCTTTGAGACCAAAAAGGTATTTGTTTTTGTCTATTTTTCTATATACTCATGTTTTGATTTATTTTTTATTTTTATTTTTTGGTCAGTTTCTGGAACTGATTTGTTTTTTTTTTTTAGCAGGACTTGTTCTGGATTAGAGTGTCTTGGGGCTTATGACATAAAGCGATTCTTCGATCTTTTTCTGTTCTTGAGAGGGGCTCTCACTTGATAATCAAATAGCTTTTCTTTGCTTAAGTTTCTTCTTAATTCTTTTTTTTTCTGTTTTTTTTTTTTTGGGTATCATTTTGAGGGGTTTTGGAGAGTTTTGCCAATGTCAGAACCAAAAAGACAACCTTTGCTTTTCACTAAATCCTGCAAAAAAACCAACGATACGAAACCAATCTTGTCCCAGGACGCCAAAATGGAGTCCAAAATGAGAAAAATCCGTGTCATTTGGTCTGATCCATATGCTACCGAATCTGATTCGAGTGATGATGAATCTGATACGAAATCGATTAGAAAACGTTTCGTGCGAGAAATCAATCTTCCTTTGGTTGTTTCCCCCAGTCAAAAGTCCTAGAGCCTGAGAGTTCTTGTCAAGACAGTAATAACAGTGCTAAACCCCCCAATAAGAAGAGAAGGGTTTTGCCTAAAAACCCTACGTCAACAACCCAAGATAAGAAACTAGCACCAAAGAAACCAGTAGGTGTTAGGCAAAGGAAATGGGGTAAATGGGCAGCTGAGATTAGGAATCCAATGACAAAAGTGAGGACTTGGTTGGGCACTTTCAATACTCTTGAAGAAGCTGCTCAAGCCTACGAAGCAAAGAAACAGGAGTATGATGCTATGGCTATGGTAGCCTCTGAGAAAAGCCAAAACATGTCATCATCTGTTGCTGTCTCTCAATCTCATTCTCATAACAGCAGCAAAAACCAAGTCAGTTCTGCTTCTTCTGATGATACTGATGATAGCGTTGTTTCTCATACTTCCCCTGCTTGTGTTCTTGAGCTTGATACTTCTGTGGTGTCAAATGTTACCGGTGATTGTGGTCTTTTGATCAAAGATGAAGATGTTAGCACGTCTATTGCGGATCTTGAGGTACCTGATTTGGCTTTTTTGAACGATCCATTGGCCTCTTGCCCGATTGATCAAGATCTTAACTTGGGTCTTGATTTTGAGAATCTTATTGATGAGTTTGGTCGATTTTATGATGATTACTGTGGCATTGATGATCTTGATATTTGTGGGTTAAACGGTGAAGAACCAAGTGAGCTTCCTGATTATGATTTCGAGTTTGGCAACGAGGAGTTCTCTTATTTGGATGATCATCAACAGAAACCCCTCAACATTGCATGCCTATAAGTTTTGCAGCTAGGATTTTAATTATTGTAGAATTATTATTATTATTATTACTAGTTTATTTAAGGTATATTACAGCAGCAAGAGATCTCAGGGGCTGTAACGAAGGCCCTTGAGAATGATTTTGCAATTGAGTTCAAGTTATATGTTTGTTGAGAGATAGGGAGGAATGAGCACATTTTGCTTTAGGGTCAAATATTCTTTGGGTTTTCCTGTGCTATCAGAGCCGTCCAAGGAATTCTCCAGTTTCTTGATAGTGTTCAATGTTACTGGGTTTTGAGAGTTTTGCTCATTCCTCGCATCTTGTCTATGTTTTATGAAATGGAACTTGTGTGATTTTCTGGTTATGTTTAGTTTGTTTAATGTTTTGAGGCATTTCTTGCAAAGTTTGAATTAAGTTTTTTTGTATTAATTTTATTTATGATGGGCACCTCTCACTTTGTTTGTGTGTTCGTGAAGCTGTGCGAATCCCTGTACTAGTGGCACAACTCAAAAATCGTGCCTATAAACCTATGTCTTCTAGTTGGATATAAAATTACGATTTGGTGATGTTTTGATGCCCTTCTTATATTGTTGGGTATTTCCTTTTCATATTCAAGAAAGCAATAATGCAAATTCAACTATTTGTTTGGTAGACTCGCTGCTAAGTTTTTGTGCTTTTTCTAAAGGGTTGTCCCGGAACAGGTGGGCCAAAAAATTAATTTGCTCTGATGATTTTTGCTTTGCAAAGCAAAGTATATCTGCAAGTCGAAGCAGGAAAAGGTGTTGTCTAGAGAATCCTTTTTAAGCTAGCTGGATACCAATTGCTTTCTGCCCATCTTCTCTTTGTCCTTCCACGTACTCTTTAAATTAATGAAAGCTTGTGACAGTGTTGTCTTGTGTTCGTGACACCAGCTTCTTTTCTGTATCTACTCGCATGCTTGAAGAGTGGTAAGTAGAGCACTGAACCATGATTTTCGGTTAGCCTCCAAAAACACCATTAGTGTCTCCCAAAAACACCATTGGAGCACTGAAGGCTTGTGGAAATTTTCATTACGAGCGTAGAAATTTGTGTCCTGAGATGAATTGGTTTGTGTTTATCCCAGTGCAGCGGTCCTTGGGGTTATGTAGAAAGCAAAGATGGTGAATATCGAAATATGATTGAATTGGTTTAGTCAAGATAGTGTATTTGCAGTCAATTTCATTGTTAATTGTTTTCTGTAGTGAATATCGAAATATGAGTGAATTGGTTTAGTCAAGATGGTGTATTTGCTGTCTATTTCACAGTTAATTGTTTTCTATGTTGATTAGTAGAACTTTCTTCTTGGGTTATACAATTTAAAAGCAGGCTTGTTAAGTTGTAGTTAATGGCTCAGCAAAATATTGCTTGGACAAGAGCTCTAACCGTCCTCCATGTTTTGTCACTTCCAGCGCAAGATTTCTTGTAAAAATCGAATACAACCAAAGAAGGGATAATAGGACATAAAATTGTTGTTTTGGCGTTAGAAGTAATAATCTTAACTTGCTTCAAACTAGTATAGTAATAGCTATAAATAAATAAATAAAATAAAGCCTTCACCAGGAAATCATTTCCGATGCGATCCTCAATTATTTGGTCTTGGCATTATCGTACTGCCTGTGAATGAAAGGAAAACCGGTGAGCTGAAACACACAAGCTGTGGCTGATTTTTATCCCGAAGGACACAAACACAATAGGGTTCATTCGATAATCTGTCCCTGCCCTTGCGATGTTAAATCATAAAAAATAAAGAAACTAGTATCAAGAAAAATTAATAATCCGCTACGAAACATAAGGTCAAGACGGCAAGCAAACAGAAATTAATAATCCGCTACGAAACATACGGTCAAGACGGCAAGCAAACAGCGGGAGACCTGTCCCCATCTACAACGTCGGCCACCAGTACCTGGTGTTTATCATAGCGACATGAAGGGTTGAACAGTTGGAAGGCATTGTAATGTTGATGTTCACAATTTACAAAAAAAAAAAATTGATTAAAAGCTTTTTTTAAAAAAATAAAAAAATCTGATATGCTCGTATCGGAATGCCAAATTTTCCTCGTTTTTCAATTCTTAGTCAATTGCTTCCAATATAAATGGGAATTAACCTGCTCCACGTGGTAACAATTCTTTTTCCCTATGGATACTTCTATGCATAAAATGAAAAAGCTTTCCGTATAAATCTCACATTGCAAGGGATATACGGTGTTATATTTTGTCAAATAAATGATTTATGAAATCATTATATTAAATGCTATTTTGCAGCCACACTCTTTGGTTTTTTTTTTTTTTTTAGGTTATTTCTTTCATTCATCAAGTCTAAATTTTTCTGTCAGTCCACTTAAGCAAGCCATCCACATCTAAACTTATCCATTCACAAAATAAATAAATAAATAATAATAAAATAAAATAAAATAAAATTTGCAATATTTAAAAATCGAATCTTAAATGATAGCACGGATAGCTTACTTAAAACAACCACACTTATCCCCTAAAAATAGAGATTTTGTAAACTGAAATTACATAATTTTGCAGTCAGTGTTAATCTTCAATAGATAAATAACACTTGTAGTCACTTTATATATGTTTTAGATTTTGGTCATTAATCCTTGAAAAATGACTTTAAACACGGCAACTGGTACTTTTAATTCGTAATCACACGTGATATTTACAGGAAAAAAATTGGTATGCCCATAATTATATAAAATAAAGGTTAAAATGATCAAAATATAAAACTTTAAAAATCACACAATTTATAATTAACTTGTCTTCAAGCGAGGCAAATCAATGCATATTGTTTCTAAGTTGTAATAAGTTGGATTAAGATTCTCTTATATATATATATATAGTTCATAAATTTCAAAATAATTGGACTAATTTTTGCACATGTTAAAAATGACAGATTAATTTAATTATTTACATCTTGAAATTTAAAATAAGATGAGAGACTTGAGACATGAGTCATGATAGGTCACGTTTCCACAACATAAAAGAATCAAGATTAAAGTATACATGCTAGCTATAAAAGGAGGATAGTAATTAAATTTGAATTTTATTTATTCAAATTAATTAACAAAAGAGTAATGTTAACCTTATTCAATATTCTTTTTGAATTCACTGGTCGGATAACTTGTATTTTGAATGCGTGGATACACTAATGGATCCTATAAATCTAACAATTAATTTGTTTCTCCTTACGTCAATAATTAATAACTTTCAAAAACACGAAATAATTGGAAATAATATTTTTGGATAATATTAGCATTACTTTTGACAAAAATATTCCAACCTTTGCACTATGCATTTTGTCTTTTGCCATAACTTTGTTAAAAATAAGCAGGCCTAGCTAATAAGTTGACACTCATCGTTCGACAATAATTTTCAGGTGGATCCTACAATCAGCACCAGGAAAGTTCCTCGAAGGATTTCTTTCTTTCTATGCTATTTCATATACTGATAAATTTGCACTCGCTTGTCATGAAGAAAGATCCTTCTTCACAACTAGACAACATTGCTGTCCTTTTAAGTTGAGAAACAAAGAGGCAGTGGTTGCATACTTTAGCATATATTACAATTGCTGACATAGAACGGTGCCACGTACGGCTACATCATCATGGTTAAGGAAAAGTGGAATCAGGAATCTAATGTTTATATGTAGACTTAATAGTATGGCGGAGAATGGATTTTTATACAAACACCAACTCCTAAATTGTACCCATCTTTGGAAAATTCCAATGGATTTTGCTTTCTTCTATATATAGGAGTTAAGGTGACGATAGAATTAGGAGAAGCATCTTCTAATCTTCTTTTGGCCCCATATGTAGCTAAAAAGGTCGGCGAACCCATTATTCCTTCTTTCTTTCATGAACCTTTTCATTTAGAGGTTTTCTTCTTTTTGCTTTGCGAGGGGAGAATAAAGCTTCCATTGGTGGATGGTTTAAGATTATAATCGGAGTAAATGTGTCAATATGCTCTTTACTATAAGACAATTGATGTAGACATTTTGTAGGCAGGTCTTGCAAGACTAATCTTTGGAATCTATAGCAATAGGCCTTTATAAAAAGGCTTACATGCAATGTTGACCGACTGTTAATTTAATAGATCAAGAAATTTGGGATTTCAGCTTCGGAAAGAGCTGTGCCATGTGGTGATGCAAGGGAATGCGTCTCTTTCTCTCTTTTCACCATACAAGGCATTTCACACTAACTTTAACTACGTTTACCATTTCAGGTACGTCTTTTGTGAGGTGTGGAATTTGAATTGGCTCAATCCTAAATTAAGAGTTACATTGTTTCAACTACAAGTAGCATTGTTGTGAAGAAAATATATACAACACAAACTAAGATACAAATTGAGACTGGTCGATGAGTTACTTTTTGGTGCAACCTTAGGATGAGGCAAACGTACACAAGGAGATATTGTAATGGAAGTGTGATAATTCCAATTCATTAATTGCCATGATGAAATCATTTCTCGCTTTTAAAAGGGAAATAACTTTATATGGGTGGAAAAGAAAAGAAAAACTTTAACTGCATGATGATTCTTAAAATTGTATTATTAGAAAGTTTGGTTGGACTGAAGACCAATGAAATGGAATAACTTGATCCCAGTTGAATTTTTAAAAAGGACTAAATATGTTTCTGATAGGAAAATTAAAACCTATTAACCTGTCAATAATTTAGTGAATCGATCGTTTTTTTTTTTTTTCTTTGTGTGTGTGTTTTAAAATTTTATTTAAGTTAAGAAAACAAATATATTACATATGAAAATTATAAAATATATTGCATTTAACCCAATGATTGAACAGGTAAATAAACAGTTGGACTGCTAATTGCCGTGTGGGCATGGTTGACCTTAATCAATTGGTTACATGTCTTTGTCACTTTGGTTCTCTGCATAACACCTTTTTATGTTGTCCGATAAGATAAAGAGCATATTGACTTGCTCAAAACAACAAACAAAAAGGAGCATATTCAATCTCAAGAAAAAAGAAAAAAAAGGCATCA